GTTGGGAAAAGGAGCTCACTTCCCGCTTTCTCCAAGGGCTCCCCACACGGGGTGAGAGCAAGTCTAACGGCACAGGAGCTAGATCTGTAATCACCGAATGAATAAAGGATTCTCTCTTTGCTTCTTTCTTTTTCCTTCACTTGATAAATATTAACTGAGCACCTATTATACGACAGGCACTGCATTTTTATTGAAAAGCAAAAAACTCTATCTGGCTGTATCAGCACAGTTCCATAACATGCACACGTGTTTTTGTGTAATGGGGCTGGGGTGGGAGTGGCAGCAAAATCAAGTCTCTAAGCTCTGCAGGGAGACGGCTGGTAATTACTATGTGCTCTGAATACCGTCCATGCAAACTAAGCCCTTCAGTGCGTTTTACTTTTCCTGCTGCAAAATAATAAGAATTTACAGCCCAAGGAAGCAAGCCTCTTCTAAAACAAACAAAATTTCCCATCCCTTGTTGTAGCTGCCACAAGTCTAGAGAGCTGATACCTACACTCTTGGCCAGAGAATGCTTTTTTCCTCAGAAAAAAGAGGGTCACTGGGAAAAACTGAGAACTCTGAATCTAAGGTAAGCATTATAATGACTGGGAAACTTTTTCAGGGTGCACAAAGATAGTGTCACAAGGGTATTCTTTGGGGTGTTACTGATAGAGAAAATATGGAAGCAACCTAAATGCTCAAAGGTAGAGCTTCATTAAATAAATGATGGTACATCCATATAAAGAATACCACACAGTGATCATTAATGATGTTTAGAAGAATATTTCAAGATACAAGAAGACAGTCAATACAACTTAAATGGAAAATGCAAGTTAAACTAGTATACACTATATGATTCATTTTTGTAAAAAAATACATATGTAAATGGATATGTGTGTATATATACATTTATACGTACAAACACATCCACACACATATGAATAAAGGGAGACAAGAGAGAAAGAGGTATATACGTATATGACAGAAGAAGAAATCTGAAAGGATCATCACCAATGTCAATCGTGTTTGTGGGATTATGGGGGATTGTTATTTTCTTTTTCTCTTTAATTCTGTATTTTCTAAATTTTATAATAATAAATGCATACTTTTGTGAAAAAAGAAGTTATTAAAATTATATTATGGCTTTAAGATAATTACATTGCTAAAAATAAATCAGAGAAGGAAATTTGAAAGTTCATTCTTTAACTTTGCTTATGATACATTAAAATTATTTAAATGATTTTTATTTAGCCAAGCAAAAAAAAAAAGTTGCACTAAAATAATGAGAGATAAGTAATTCTATAAAAATATTATGTAGAATTTCGGGTAAATTTCTTTCGTGGACAATTTCTTTTCAATCCAATATACAAAGCTATCAATTTTTTAATTCTAAAGGTTAGCAGATATGAAGTGCATCCATTCATTCATTCACTCAAGAGGTACTTACTGAGTTTTTACCATGTATAAATGCCTGTCCACAACTGTTTGGGAGATTAAAGTACATATTCCTTGTAATTGAGGTGCTTTTGGTCTACTTGGAAAGAGAACAAACATTCATAAATCCTCTAGACAACAAAGTTCTAAAAATTAGAATAGAGAAGAGGGCATTCTAGAAGATGCCTCTCGCGGGGCAGTAATTTCTAGAAGTGTTAGCCCATGAGCTGGGTGAGGACTCCGGTTAGCATCCATCACACAGCAACCCTTACTGAGGGCCCAAGTGTCCTTTCCTTGTCCTGACTTTTGTTTCATTCATCTTGGTCCTGAGTGGACTTCTAAGCCAAGTTTATTTTGGGAACTCCAGACCATGTTCATCTCCTGAAGGAATGAGGAAGGAGAGGTGTGGAGCTGGATAATAACACAGTCCAGATTAACTACTGATGGGTGATGGGTGTGGAAACACAGAGAAAAGGGCTGCTCTCAGCCTGTAGGCAAATAGCAGCCACCCCTTATCCTGTCCCTCGCAAACTGGGGTTGAACAGCACACCATTCTTCCAATCCTTACTTCTGAGGAGAGGATTATCAATGAGAACATTCACAAAGTCAAAAGCAGCAAGGTATGATGAACTGGGAGCCCAGCACTTTTTGGGACCTACCCAAGTTCCAGCTAGCTCTGCCTCTAACTAGCTTCTTTCTGGGCCTCAGTTTCTTCATCTGTCAAATGAAGGGATTAAACTGTTCAATATGCAAAGGTACATATTTCCTGTAAATTAGAAACCACAAGGTTCCTGTGATCATATGTTGGAATTATTCCCCAATCATGAGTCATCTGTCAATCTCTGACCTTGCAAAGACAAATTGCTTCCCAGTGAGGGAAATTAAAGCACTACCTTCTCTTACGGGTAGGCTGTAGACACTGCATGCTTGTGTGCAGCACTGTCTGGGAAGTCGAGGCAAAGGAAACGGCTCCTAAATCCTTCCTAGGATAGAAACAGACAGCAAGACAGGCTACGGCATCTGCTACCATTTCCTCTGGGATTAGACGAAATCATACAAATATCAATATTAAATTACGTGTGCATACTTTTTATTTTTGCCTTTCATGACTAATCACAGGGGATTCTCTGTTTTTAGCCTTTAGTGCAAGGTTATGAAGGAAGAACAGGAGAGATGAATGTAGAATTTCAGCATTTTCAAGCTGCAAGTGATTTTGAAGATTAGACCCAACCCCCTCATCATTCCAAAGAGGAAAAAAATAGGGATCCAAGGTGTGCAACAGTTCCCTCCAGTGTTAACTTTCTGAAGTAGGTTCTCTCAATTTGCCTCACCTACACCAACCATAACTGGACAATACCATCACCTACAAGCCAAAAGCAAACAAACAAGCAAGCAAATAAAAACCGCTAAAAAAAAGAGACAAAGAAAGTAGCCTACCCTCTTGTAGTGTTTCCCACATGACCACTAGAGGAGCCACGCAAGGGGGAGACAGTTCACCAGCATGAACGTTGACGGGGACAGCCCACCCTCCCAGACGGCCTCCAGGACCAACGCCTCACCCCAGACCCAGCCACACCTTATTTCCACCCACTGCTTTCCTGTCTCTCTACAGGTAGGCAGGTACCGGACCTTTCTCAGAGAATTGCTATGAGAATAACGTTGCCCTTAACAAACCAGCCATTTACAGCCACGTCATCCGTCAAGTAAACAGGTTTTTATATAACATCGGATGAATACAATTCAAATGTTAAAAATCTGTTCACCAAGAAACACGATTTTATGCTAATTTCTTCTCTCTTTGGCTCATGATGAATCCAGGTAAGTTACTCAAAAGTATCTCAGTAAAGAAAAAAAAATCGGTAGTTCCATATGAGAACTATTTATTTAAACTCAGTCTAAGTTACTGGAATCACATAAGAACTCATTCCTTGCCAATCCGTTTTGCCTCATTATTCAAATGGATGAGATATGCCTTATTGTTACATTCTTCCTACCATGGAAGAAACACACACACTGGCTGTTTTGGTGTCTGATCATATTTGATAATATTTTAACATCCATACACTTCAGACCAGAGCATCCTAGATGATACGATTAGAATTCGAATGCATAGACTGCTGGAACTGAAAGGGACTCTCAAGAGCATTTAATCATATCTCCTCCCCTTACAACTAAAGAAAAGGAGCTGCAGTGAAACCAACTTGTCCCTTGTCACATGGCTAGAGAGTGGGAGTGCCAGATCTAGAGGCCATGTCTCCAGTCTTCCTATCCAGGTTCTTTCCACGGCCCCGGCTTTCCAGCATCAGCGCAGGCTTTCTAAACATTCTGGAAGGACTGGATGGAGGCTATTCAAAGCCTGAATGGGCAGTGAGTTCCCTCTCTTGCCCCAGTGCGTTGCATTCTGTCAATCAGGAAGGAGGGCATCAATGCTTACAGTTGTCAGTTGCTCCCATATTAAATTACTGTCTTAATTTATCCAAAGTCCATTGTTGCTATGCAGTGAGCAGTCAAGAAGGAGCATTTTCGTTTTGAATTATGTGAGCAATTCAGTCATCTGGTTCATGTCTAAGAATGATTTATGGCTAAGTGGCATGCATAATTTGGGGCAGCAGCCTTCTGACATTGTTTCAATGAGTCCGTGACAGGAAATCTGGCTGCATTAAGCTCCTGCCTTCTCACTCCAAGGAAGCCCATGCACGCAGCCATTAAGTGTTAAAGACTAACAGGGAGCAGTAGCGTGCAGAGGAGAGTTCCCCTTGACATTGTAATTATCCGCAGGAGAACCTGCCCATCGCTCGCTTCCTGACTTTAAGCAGCACGCCTGGTTCTAAGCCTCCCTCTCATCTGTAAAACGTTGAACGGATCTAAACTCGATTAAAACATACTGTATAACTGAGCCAATATCATAATTTGTAAGAATGAGTTAACTCCAGAACTGAGAACACAGTAATAATATGGAAAATGTTGAAAACTCTGTGTCTGGGATCCCACAGATCTAAGTAGGGATAAAACCCTGCCCGGCATTTACTAGCTGTGTAATCTCGAGCAAGTCTCGTCACCTTCGAAACTTCGGAGATCTTTCGTCTATTTGTGTTAAGTTAACATGAAAAAGTTCAAACACGCTCAAAATAGAAAGAGTAGAATAATTAACTAAAATGATGTGCTAATCACCGGTTTAAGCAATTTTTAATATTTTGCTAATATCGTTTCATCTCTCTTCCTCGACACTTTTTTTTCCGGAGGTATTTTAAAGAACATTCGGGCAAGTTGTTTTACAGATCTCTGGGCTTTAGCTTTTCACCTAAGAAATGATGATCACATCTAATCCAGGGGGTAGAACTGTACCGAGTACTCAACCAACGCGAGCGCTCCCTGCCCACGACGGCGCCGCAGCGCGCCGCTCCGCCCGCGGCGGACGACCACTCCCCAGCGCGCCGCCCGGCTCCAGGCCGCGCTCAGCCCGCCACGCAGGACCGCCTTCGCCCCCTGCGGCCGCGCTCCCTCAGCCCCGCTCGGGCAGAACGAGGTTTGTCCCTCGCAGCCCCCCGTCGACGCGCGCGAAGACGAGGGGCGGGGACAGGAAATGGGGTTGGGCCGAGTTCCGGGCGCGAGGCGGCCCTGGCGAGAGCGGAGAGCGGCCGCTGCGAGCTGGGAGCGGGCTTCGAGATGTTCCGGATCGAGGGCCTCGCGCCGAAGCTGGACCCCGAGGAGATGAAACGGAAGATGCGCGAGGACGTGATCTCCTCCATACGGAACTTCCTCATCTACGTGGCGCTGCTGCGAGTCAGTGAGTGTCCGTCCAGGTGTGGCCGCGCGCCCCGCGTGACGCAGGCTCGGGGTCCCGGGCTGGGCCGAGCGGCCGCGGGGAGCAGGGCGGTGCGCGGCTTGGCGCTGCGGTCGGGTGGGGTGCCCACGGGCGCGGCTGATCACCCCGCCCTTGCCGTGAGGGCTAGAACGGAGACACCTTGAAGGGCATCCCCCAGAGCCGCTCCCGCGTTTCCCAGGCAGATTTACGGTGGAGAAATGGTGGCTCAAGGTCACTCGGCGACTCGGTGAATGATCTTGACCCGAAACCCAGAGCTCTCACTCAACTCAACAGTCTCCTTCCTTTAGTGCTGACCTCTGAAATCCAAAAGATTTTGCTTTTATTTGTACAGAGGGTGAAATACATAATTGCGTTTTGGGGGAGAGTCTGTAGGATTAGTGATAAGACCTGAGGTTGTATTTGATTTTCCCTTCGGTGGAAACTTACTTGCCTTACCTGGTCTTGACAGCAGGCCTTTGAGAGGCCGGCCGAAGAGTCTGCGTGTCCCTCTGCAGGTGAGAAGTCGACTTACAGAGGCGCTGGGCCGAGGCTTCAGAGTTACAGGACCCTGGGTGTGAGAGCTGGATGCAGCTTTCGAGATCCGCTCTCCAGTTTCGCTGATGAGAATCTCAGAAGTGATTTGTCCCCTCCCCTCTTTCCCAGTTCGATATTCTTTTCATTGCTCTTTGCTGTACATCGTTGGCACGTCTGGATGGAGGGGCAGGGATGATTCCAATAAATGTAGGCCCTACCGAGGCCGGCTTCTAGAAGGCTCACGTGGGGCCCGGGCCGTGTCTCCCTCACTCGGTGGCGCTGCACTGTCTGTGCTATTCCTCTGCTTCCCCAGGAGAGGGAGCTCTGGTGAACAGAGACGCCCAACCAGCCTGCCGCTTGAGCAGCTCTTTACAGCTCCCAGATTTACTTATTTCCTCCTCTTACCGTTTTTTCTTGACTTAGATCCCAGTAAAATATTTGCTTCTTCTCATTGACCCTTCTATTAGATATAGATTGCTTTTTAAGAAAACACAGAATACTGTTCCTTATTATCACTTTTTAAATTGAGGTATAATTGGCATATTAGTATACAATTCACCCATTGAAAGTGCACACTGCAGTGGGTCTTAGTGTAGTCAGAGTTGCACAGCCATCACCACAATCTATTTTTAGAACATTTTCTTTCCCTTTAAAAGAAACACTATACCCATTGGCCGTTATTCCACATTTTCCTCCTTCTCCAGCCCTTGGCAGTGTCTAATCCTTTTGCCTTTATGGATTTGCCTCTTAGGGATATTTAATACGCATGGAATTGTATAACATGTGACCTTTTGTGTCTGGCTTATTTCACTTAGCGTATGTTCAAGGTTCATCCATATTGTAGCATGTGTCATTATTTCCTTCCTTTTTATCGCTGAATAATATTCCATTGTGTGGATATACCACATTTTGTTTATCCATTCATTTGATGGATGGTCCTTTTTTTCTGATAAGATTTAGTAGGAAGGACTGGACGTGACTTGGTCAGCTTCCGACAGATCTCAATATCTTCAGTTTACTATTAACAAAATATTAATTTAGTATGGGTATTGAGAAAGGAGATCATTCTTGCAGCTTTTTTGGTCACAGCCCTTTTTGTTTCCTGATTTTTTATTGTAAAAATACATGTCACATAAAATTTACCATCTTAACTGTTTTTAAGTCTACGGTATAGTGGCATTAAATACATTCATAATATGCAGCCATCACCACCATGCATCTCCAGAACTCTCTTCATCTTGTAAAACTGACACTCCATTCCCCTCTCCTCCCAGCCCCTGGCAACCACCATTCTACTTTCTGTCTCTATGATTTTGATCACTCTAAATATCTCCTATAAGCGGAATCAGTATTTGTCTTTTTGTAACTGGCTTATTTCACTTCAGATAATGTCCTAAGATTCATCCACATTGTAGCATATGTCAGAAGTTCCTTTTTAAGGCTGAATGATACTCTGTTGTATACCTCAGTTTTGCTTATCCATCATTCATCTTTGGGCACTTGGGTTGCTTCTATGTTTGAGCTACTGTGGTTAATGCTGCTATGAACGTGGATGTACAAATTTTTTTTTTTTTATTTTGAGGAAGATTAGCCCTGAGCTGACATTTGCCGCCAGTCCTCTTCTTTTTGCTGAGGAAGACTGGCCCTGAGCTAACATCCATGCCCATCTTCCTCTACTTTATATGTGGGACGCCTACCACACTGTGGCTTGCCAAGCTGTGCCATGTCCGCACCCAGGATCTGAACTGGCGAACCCCTGGCCACTGAAGCAGAACGTGCGCACTTAACCGCTGCGCCACCCAGCCGGCCCCCAAATATCTCTATTTTTAATTTTTTGAGGAACCACCATACTGTGTTTCATAGCAGTTTTACCATTTTACATTCCCACCAACAGTATGCAAAGGTTCCAATTTCTCCCCATCCTTGCCAACAGTTTTTTTGATACTAGCCATCCTAATGGATGTGAGGTGGTATCTCATTGCACTTGTAATTTGCATTGTTCTAATGATTAATGATGTTGAGCATCTTTTTCTATGCTTAGTTTGGCCACAGCACTTTTACATACAATAATAATATCACTTCTTTAGACCCCTATGACAACACTTCCTACTTTTCTAGAAATTTCCATCTACACCATCCTAATGGACCCTTACAACTACTCAAGTTGAACTGTATCGTACAATACATAGCTAGTCAGTGGGAGATCAAAATGTGTGTCCAGCTCTTCTGGTTCCCTAGTTCAGTGTTGTTTTCCCCCAACCTCTGCCTTCTTTCAAATGTGTTTTTAAAGGTGAAAAATGCCAATTTGTTTTTTCTAGAGTTTTGTTCCTTTGACAGTTAAATCACCAAAGTAAAGGACTGTCATTTGAAAGAGCATTGGGTTTACTCTTTATGGCCTTGGGAGGTAGAACTACCCGAAGACAAGATTTTATATAGTGTAAGAATGAACTTTATAATAATCATAGCCACCTGATGCTGGAATGGGCCACCTTGAAAGCGTGAGTCCCTTTTGCTGAGTTGTGCCGGCAGATGCTTGGCCACCGCGTGGCGTTGTTTTAAAAAATGTGTTGAACTAAACCTGTAAGGTTTACCCCCTAATCTTATAATTCCGTATTGTAACTTGTGGGCTCCTCGATCTGAAAACAAATTCTGGGTTGGTTTATTTTTCTTTCAGCTCCTTTTATCTTAAAGAAATTGGACAGCATATGAAGATTGGACATCACAGGTGAATGCATGAGATGAAGAATCTGGTTACAGTTTCTACTCCTGTCTGCAAAAGAACAGCCCAGAAAGATGTAAGAGACTCTGATTGAATGGACATACAAGTTCTACTTGTTTGATTCAACAGCTTTGGCTCTAGTAACTGACCTTCGTAGCTGAAATATAAAACTGGGAAGTTGAAAACATTTTGTGGCCATAGTATGCCCTTATGCCTGTGATATTCAGCTTCCATAAATGTTGGTGTAATTGTAAATAATGTCAAACTCCATTTTCTAGCAAGTCTTAATTATAAGGGAATTATGTCTGCAATGGCACTGTCTTGTCAGTCATTTCTGTTTGCCTTTTTACTTCTGTCTGCAGTGTATTTGTTGAACAGTATATATTGTTCAGATTAGTCAGGTTTTATGGAATCCAGCACACAACCACAGTGACATTTAAGGACAAGACCAATAGTCTATATTTTTAATAAACATATCAATTAAGAAAAATTGGGTTTTTATTTTTCTTAACCCATCTTTTGCTGCAAACCAGTAATCACTAGTGAGACTACTATGATAGTCTGATTGTTACAAACTGCATTAAATTGAATTCCTCTTGTTTTGGTCTGGAGAATTTGCTAATCCTGATAAAGCGACATTGTTTTATTTTTAAGCAGTCTTTGTGAAAGGCAACGTTACTCTTGGTGCTGAGGATATGTAATGCGGTCAAAGGGGAAATGCTGTGTTTTTAAGTGAGATGGTTCTCCCAGTTTGTTGGGGAATGGGGATGGTCCTTAACCTTCCCAGAGGCAACTACCTTCACCTCCTATTAGCTAATTATATTGATATTCACCTTCATGTCTCTTAAATAACATGATTGCATTGTTACTTTATGATTTTTCTGTTTAGACATTGCCTACTGAATTCTCCATGCATGTAAGGATTTAGATCGCTTTCCTTGCCTCCATCACTCACACCTCTCTTCTCACAGTGTACTTATTAGCATGATTTTGATTAGATCAATTTCATTAGGGCTCCAATTGCTGTTTGTGTTTTCTTTTCCTGTACACCCTTTATTTTTCCTAGGCTTAGTTTTCTATGAACTTACCGCTAAATTAACTAAACTTTTTATCTAAATTGCTTACAATGTTCGGTTTCATCAGATAGACAATTTCACCTTGCTGAGTAATTCTTTCTGGAGCTTTCTGACCTCCCCCAGTCTGGGCTTATAATCTTCTGTGCCTGGTGTATGACCGTATTCTGGGATCTCCCTTCACCATAATCCTGGGGATTCCTTTTCTTCTTCTCCCATGTTGGATCTCTTGTTTTCCGTATCTGGTGTCCAGTATGCATTTGTTCACTGAACCTCTATATTGAGTACAATACCCCTGCCAGTAACTGCCTAGCACCCTACAATCCAGAGAATCCTCTATTTTGTCCTTTTCAGGAAATAAACTAATTTGGGAGGGAGGCTGCTTAGCTATGTAGAGATGAAGGGAGTATCTGACTACTTAAACCTTCAACCGATTCTTATTTTATGCCTCCCCCTTCACCTCCTGCTTCCAGAGGTCTGTGAAGCCACCAGTTCCTGAGGCTTTAGGGATTCTAGGCTGTAAATTTGGTGGTGGTTTCGCTTTTCCTACTGTTGACTCAGGATTCAGTTTTCTTGGGTCTACCATGTTATTTACTACTTGTCCACCTGTTTTTCAACTTCTAACTTCTTGTTGTTGTCTCCCCATTTTCTATCCTTTTACGTTTATACCTTAAAACAAACAGAACTCTTTGCTGTCATTTATCGGCAGTTCAGGAGGGAATGGAAGTAGATGCATGTGCTCAGTCCACCATGTTTACCCAGACAGCATGGATGTTCAACCTGTGATGCTGTGTTTCATGTTGGTAATGTACATCCATTCCTGTCTTAAGGAGGTGCAGTATATAGCACCATGGTCATGAACACGGGCTCTAAAAACAGGCAGACCTGATTTTGAGTCCTGGATCCAATAATTATGAGATGGATGACTTTTAGCACCTCAACCTCTAAATCTCATTTTCTTCACCTGTAAAATGAACATAATAGAAACATCTTCAAAGTGTTCAAAGCATCCTTACTTCAAAGAGTGAAGTAAGAAAATGCAAGTAAAGCAGTTAGCACGGTGCCTAACATTTGGTAAAGGCGGTTAGTCTTTGGTATAAGGTGTTCAGAAGTGATTCATGCTGGCATTCACTGCATTAATTGGTTTCGTTCATATTTCCAGATAGCATGCTTATCCTCTAATTGTATACAGACTTCACAATTACCAAACACTGGAATTCATTATTTAAAAACAGCCTTGATGAATCAGTATTAATGCCATTTCACAGAAGGCGAGTTTGAGACGCTGGAAGTTTCAGTGGCTAATAAGTAGCAGCTGGCCAAGGCTTAGGGACTTTTAATGTTTATTGTACCCTATCCTTAAGTACTTTTCTTGGGGGGGAAGATGTGTGATGATTACCCTGGATTCCAGTGTATTCCAGTGAATGTTGAGACTAGAATAAGAGAAAGAGTGATGGTGCAGTTTTTATGGCTGACTTTTTAAAGCTCAGGCCAGAAACTCCACTGGGTGGGAGTCTAATACTTGTAATAAAAGTTCTGAAATAGTACATTTAAAAACAGTTGGTGAGATAGATAGATAGATAGATAGATATGGTTGAATATGTAATGTAAATAGTAAAGAACCATAGCAAATTTGCGTTTTGTAAATTCTTGAAATGGATCTTAGAAAGAGATAGGGATAATTGAGAGAAAATGTTGCTTCTCCACAAACAGGTTGCTTAGAGGGATACGAACTAAGGAGTTTTGCTTAGTGCTCTTCTTGATACCAGCGCTCTTCGTTTTTGAACTGCTGTATAATTGCTCTGTGTAGTTCTTCTGTGAGGTCAGTTAGCATTTCAATTACAGTGTGTTCCACAGATGTCAGGTGGGCACACTTGGGCCTAGCTTTGGAATGAAGAATAAGTGCAGGAGTCTGAACTTCTTTTTCTCTTCCCCCTCTTTCCCTTGAGCTAAGCATATCTTTCACCTATAAAATTCAGGCACCAGAGGCTGTTATAGACAGCGTACAAAGGAAATCAGCTAGACATTTTTACTCTCTTTTGCTACAGTTTGACCACTTGATAAGTTCTGCATGTAGCTGAGGTCATCAAAGAAGCCACTAAAGCAAGAGTTGGCAGACTTCCTGTTGCAGGTCAGATGGTAGATACTTTAGGCTTTGGGGGGCTCTGTGGTCTCTGTCAGCTCCACGTTGCAGTGTGAAAGCAGCCATAGGCAGTATGTAAATGAATGGGCGTGGCTGCGTTCCAATAAAACTATGTATAGAGGGAGGCGTCAGGCTGGATTTGACCTGCAGGTCACCTGCACCTAAAGTGAAGGGCAGAATTTGGCAAAATGGGAAATAGCCACCAAATCACAGAACTGTTTCATTACTTTAAAGGTGAGAGGGGTTTGTTCTATTGCAAGCCAAATATCTCAAGGACCTAACCTTGCTGAAGGTTCAGATTGAGCTTCCCTGAAGAAATGACATTTAAAGAGACCTGAAGGATTCACTGGGGTTATCAAGGGAAAAAAGGTAGAGAAGGGAAGGTCGGGCAGGGATCATATTGAGCAGGGTAGGGAGTTGAGAGTTGCCTACTTAAACAGCCCTAGGTGCAGTATGGGCACTAGATTTGAAGGGGGAGATGAAGGAGTGAATGAACAGACCAGTGTTGACTCAGATAACTGTGGTATAAGGCAAAGGAAGGATTCAAGGAAGACTTGAGGTGCGGAGGTTATCTGGGTGGACCCAGTGTAATCACAGAGATCCTTGTAAGAGGGAGAAAGAAGGTTCAGAGTCAGAGAAGACATTACACAGAAGCAGAGGCCACAAACAGGGAAGGTGGGCAGCCTCTATGTTCCAAAAGCTAGAAGAGGTGAGGCCCAGATTGTCCCCTAGACTCTCCAGAAGGAACACAGGTCTGTTGACACCTTGATTCTAGCCCCTTAAGACCCATTTTGAACTTCTGACCTCCATGACTGTAAGATAATAAATTTGTGTTGTTTTAAGCCACTAAGCTTGTAGTAATGTGTTACAGCAGCAAAAGGAAACAAATATATTTATAGCACTCCTTCCGCCTCTTTGTTTTACTGTGGCCCCATCCTCTTCACATCTAAAGTAAATCCCTTACCTGTTCTGCCGTCTTGTTCAAATTTTATTCACTGATTACATAATCGTTCTTGAAATACTTTCTGGGGGCCGGCCCCGTGGCTGAGTGGTTAAGTTCATGCGCTCTGCTGTGGCGGCCCAGGGTTTCACCGGTTCAAATCCTGGGCACGGACATGGTGCCACTCATCAGGCCATGCTGAGGTGGCATCCCACATGCCACAACTACAAGGACCTGCAACTAAGATATACAACTATGTACCAGGGAGATTTGGGAAGATAAAGCAGGGCAAAAGAAAAATACTTTCTGATCCTAGATTATCTTCTCTGTATACTTTCTCTCAGCCATGATCATAGTTTAATTACCCTCTATCTAAAGGAAACTCCCAATGTTACTTCAAGTTGAAATGTTGGCCATATCTGGATATCCACATGCCTGCTCAACATATCCATCTCAGATCTTTTCAGCTTAGCAGGTCTAGAACTGGGCCCATCATCTTCCCCCTGGAACCTGTTCCTTAATTCAGTAGATGGCACCATCAGCACAGCTGCTTAAGCCAGAAGTCAGGGCGTTTTCCTTGAATCTTTAATGTAATCACATCTCCAAAGTCCCTTTTTCCAAATGAGGTATGTATTCACAGGTTCGGAGATGAGGACCTGGACATTCTGGGGTGGGGTTGGCGTATTATTTTGCCTACCACATGTGATAAAGGTTTAGATTTGGTGGGGAAAGTTGAAAAGAGTTCCCTTCTGCCCAAATCTGTTTTCTCTGGAGGTCATTTGCTGACCTCAGCCTTCCTTAGTCACTCAACCCCACAGTCATAACCTAGATTTGATTTCAAGCATGCTTTTCTCCAGTACTAATAATCTGGCCCCCCCAGCCCTGTAATCTATTCACCCCCCACCTAGTGCTCGCTTCCTTCACATCTCAGCTTAGATTCCACTAGCCATCGCTGTGGTGATTCTTGTGTATACCTTCCACTCTCTTCCCTCCCTCTAGCTTCATTGTGCTTCCCTGGCAAATCCTAACCCTGGTTAATCCGTCTCTGCCTGCTCTGTGCCTGCCCTGTGCAGCTGAAGGTGGCTGGAAGAAAACAGACATGCTGACAGGCTCCACTTGGAAAATGACGGCAGTCAACCTCCATTGGTCCTGCAGGACCACTACATTTCCTTAGGTCAATCTTCTCTACTAAACGCACAGCTCATACCTTCTCAGACCTCTAGTATCTCCTCTCGTCTTCAAGCTCAGCTGATGACATTGCTTCTGTTTTCCCTAAAAAAAGAAAGCTTCCATAAACTTACCCATGATACCTACCCACCCCCCAGCATTTGTAGCCTCCCTCCTGTTAGGAATGTCTGTGTTCCTGTTTAAGGCCAATCATATCCTACATGCACTCAGTCCCACCCCCTATTAACTACCCAAGGATCTTGCTCCAGCAAGTCTCTGTCTGTCATCAGATTTTCTTTCTTTACTGGATTATTCCCAGTAGCATACAAAAGGGCTGTGGTTTCTTCTGTCTTAAAAAGAATTTTTTTAAAAAGCTCTGTTGCCTGTCTGTTCCCTGGAGAGGATTCTGGGAGTTTTGTGCAGGAGTTTTTGGGGGGAGTGTTTTTGGGAAAAACACTAGAGAGCAAGTGAAACAATTCTGGGCATGGGGAGAAGTTGAACTGTGATGCATTTGCAACTAGCATGACCAGCAATCCAGGACTGTGCCAGTCTTAGCACTGAAACTCCTGTGTCCCAGAAACCCTCTCAGTCCTGTGGGAATCGGCGTGGTTGGTCACCTTAGTTGCAACAGCAGTTTTTTTTTTTTTTTTTTTTTAAGATTGGCACCTGAGCTAACAACGTGCCAATCTTCTTTTTTTTTTTTTGCTTTTTCTCCCCAAATCTCCCCAGTACATAGTTGTATACTTTTAGTTGTGGTTCCTTCTAGTTGTGAGCAACAGCAGCTTTAATCAATCCCACAGGTATCTGTGACTCTCAGACAGCCCTTCAGAGAAATCCTGAGTCAAGGCAAGAGGGCAGGGCCTTTGGACTCCTGCATCGACTCGTCACTGGCTGTGGGCTGCTGGGTGGGTGGGTAACTTTGTTGGAGGCAGCTTCCTTCAGCTGAGGGCAATTCCTGAGAGGAATGCAGCTGTGAGCTGCCAGCAGCCAACGCCCCTAGCTGCTGGGGAATGAGCGCCAATTACCTTGATCCTAAAGTTGGGATCTGAGGGGTTCACCACAACATCCACCACGGTCCTCTTGAATCCTCACCCCTGTCCATCTAACATCTCATTTCTCTGCTCTCTTTTACAATTAAATGCCTCGATAAGGTTGTCTGTATTTTCATTTCCTTTTTTCCGTTCTCTCCAGAACCCACTCCACTTAGACTTGCATCCCCATCGATCTTCTGAAACTGCTCTTGTCAAGGTTAACACTGACCCATCTTACCCTATCAGCAGCATTTAACCCACGACCTCGCTACTGTAACCACCCTGTGGGCCTTCCATAAGACTAATCTACTAATTTCCACCCTTCTTCAGATTCTTTTGCTGGTTCCTCTTCATCTCTAACCTCTGACACTTGCAGTGCCCCAGGCTTCAGTCCTCAGACCTTTTCTCTTGATTTACGGTGTAGATTCTACAGTGACTCCTTTGGTGATCTCTTCTGGTCTCTTGGCTTTAAATTCCATTTATGGGCTGAGAATGCCCAGATTTACATCTCTAGCCTACACCTCCCTTCTTGATTCCAGACTTGTCCAAAAACAAACTCCCAATCTTCCCACTTTCATGAAAACTCCTCTCTCAGTCTCAGGAGGTGATAAGTCCGTCTTTCTAGTTTTGTAGACTAAAAGCCTGAGTGTCATCCTTGACTTTCACATTCCAGTCCTTCAAGAAACCCTGTTGGCCCTGCTTCTGAATTATAATCAAAATCTGACCTCTTCTCACCAACTTCATTACCACCCCCCTGATCCAATCCACCATCATCTCTCTTCTGAATTATTGCAACAGCCTCCTAACTAGAGTCCCTGCTTCCACCCTTCCCCCTCTACAGTCAGTTCTCAACACAGCAATCAGAAGGGTCCTCTTAAAATTTAAGCCAGAACATGTCACTCCTGCTCAGAATCCTTCAATGGTTTTTTGTTTCATTCAGAGTAAAAGCCAGAGTCCTTCTGGTTGCCCACAAGGTTCTGTACAGTCTGGTCCTCATTACTTCTCTAACCTCATCTTTTATGACTCCCCTCCCTCACTGCACTCTAACCACACTGGCCTCCTTGCTTCCTCAAACAAACTAGACATGGCTACTGCCTCAGGGCCTTTGCACTGGCTGTTTCCTCTGCCTGGAATACTCTTAGATTTTCAGGTGCCTCACTCCCTCTCCTTCAGGTCTCTGCTTAAATGGCATTTTTTCAATGAGGCCTTTCCTTTCTCTTTTATAGGTTATAGGATGTTTCAGTTTGTGAAAATCCAACAATTTGTACACTTAGAGTATGTGCAGTCTTCTATAGTTAATACGGTCATGTGCCACATAACGACGTTTCAGTCAACAACAGATCGCATATACGACGGTGGTCCCATAGGATTAGTAGCATATAGCCTAGGTGTGTAGTAGGCTCTACCACCTAGGTTTGTCTAAGTACACTCTGATGTTCACACAACAACGAAATCGCCTAACGACGCGTTTCTCAGAACACGTCACCGTTGTTAAGCGATGTGACTACATTTGAATATGTATGTTTTTTTAAATTAGAACCTCCCCAGCACTCCATACCCATTTATTTGTCTTCCTGGCACTTATTTAATATATTTTTCTTTATATATTTTGATAATTGTCTGTCTCTCTTCATTATGTTTGATGAGGGCAGGGATTTTGTTACGTTCAGTACCTAGAAGAATGCCTGGCACCTAGTGGGCACTCAGTATTCATTGAATAATAGAGTGGAGAAGTTTTTAACTGGTTGTGGGAAGTGTGAGAGTGAGCTAACTAGGAAAAGGGAAGACTGTCAGATCATACTGGTACCCCAGTTAAGACAGGCGGTCGTGAAGTGGCGGTGCCTGCAGGCGCTGCTTCTCCAGTGCTGCTCTGCCGCCCAGCGGCGGGCTCGAGGAAGGTGCAGAATTGGATTCTTCCAGGGGTGCGCTTGCCACCTGGATAAGGTGAAATGACAGGGTCAGGGGGTGAGTGAAATACGGCACAAGGCATCTAAACTGGAGAATGCAAAGGCCGAGGGCGCTGATGGGCAGGAAGAAAACAGAGGGGTCAGTCCTGCTGGGGGCGACTGCAGGAGAGGGAGCAGCAGAGCAGTAGCCCTGCAGACCTGATGATAGGCCCCAGATACCTTTCTTCACTTTCAACGGACAGGAAAGTTCCTGTCCTGGAAAACAGAATCCATTCTTTTTGTTTTGTTTTCAGAAGAGAGAAATACCACCAGCTTGTGCCCTTTTGGGCTGTCACCCCAAGAGATGGTATATTAGAGTTGTTGTTTCAGAGCTAAGCACGTATGGGGTAGTCTGACAAGGCCCACATCTGACCTACCATCACAACTTTACTCTCCCCCCGTTTATATGTTCATTTAGGAGGAAAGAAAATCACTGAGTACAGACATGTTCATGATCCTAAGATACTGTGGTTTTTATGGAATGGTGGAAGCATGACAGAGACTGCTGCTGGGTGTGATACAGCAACTGGAGCTTGTATGATGCTTTTCTTCCCAAATTCAGATTGCATTGCCTCTGATTATTTGAGCTGATGGGAGAGAAGCAATATAGGGATAATTTAAAATAATAAATATATTGCAGAAAAGTTTTTAGAAATGTGGTAGATAAGAAAACAAGGAAATGTAGGAAAATGATCAAATGAATTGCTCATCTTAACATTATTAGTAAAATTCAGGTTTTATATGTTTTGTTTACTTTTGAGTAAAATTTAATAAGCTTACTGTTGAATCTTTTTATCAACTAAAATTTTATAAATTTTCATAATAACCATTGTTTTCATTGGTCTCAAGCATATGAAACAAAAGGCAAAGAATCCTTACTGAACATAAAGGTGTAAGTCAAACCTATTAAATGTAAAAAACTTATTCCTTATTCTTAATAAACTACTGTTATTAGCATACTGAAACTATGCTGTTAAAGAAGTTGAAGAGAAAGGCTTTTTTTAATATCTTTCTTTTTCCTCTTTAACCCTCACTTTCGTTGGCAAGCACTCTGCTGTTGAGAGGTTGTTCATCACCATAAAAAAGGAATTCATATTTCTTACTCTCTTGTTCCCTAGTAAAAGGTGCTTATTTCTTCCTGGTTTGACAGAAAGCATATACTGTCTTTTTTCAGCCTGTTTTCTTTCTTACACATATTGAAGTTAGATCACTGTCAATCATTTCATCTTTCCTGAGTTTAGAGAACAGCAGAGGGAGAACTGGAGGAAACCTGGAAACTCTGCGCTCAATAATACCGACTCAAAGTATCACTTATTTCCTTCTTCCCAATTCTGTTTGTAAATAAGGTGGTAAAATAGTATATTTTTAATATACTATTTTATATATTATATTTATACTATATAAATGTGTCTTCATGTTTATGAGTAACTGATTTTCTGTTCATGTATAATTTTAAGACTAAATGGACGCTAGGTGTCACATACCTGGGAATCAAAAGAATGCTTGCTAGGATACCTCCTAGTGGTGGGCTCCGTGCCAGAGGAGAGAATCAAGTATAATAGGGACTAGAACACCGGTAATATGTTGCATAAGACAGTGCCAGGCATCGGGGCAGAGGTGCTTTCCAAAACAAGCTGCACAGCAGGTCACACGGGAAGCTTTTAAACAGAAGACCTCCTGAATCAGGACTCCTGTGGGTGGCGCCCAGGAGTCTATCTTAAAAAAGCATCCAGGTGATTTTAATTGGCCCAGGTTCTGCTTTGGGTAACCAGTAAATGAATTTATCTTAAGGCCTCTTCTGATTCCGAAATTCTGGACTGGTCGAGGAATGAGAGTCAAATAAAACTAAAAATGAAAGCAATTTTAGGTTGCATTAGTAAAATTATAACATTAAGGTCTCCAGATCTGACAGATAACTTGAAGAGTAGCCAACCCGCCAGGCTGGAGTTTGGTAGAGTACTAAAGGGGTCTGCGAACCACGCTGCTGGAGAACGATGGGGAGAATTTCAGGTGTGTAGCTTCAAGAGGACCTTTAGCAGGAGTCTGAGAGCTGCTTTTAAAATCTAAAAGGATTGTCGTGTCAGAGAAAGAGTAATTGTCCCAGAAGACAGAATAGGATAAAGGTTTGGAAGCTAAGATGGAAGATTCCTTCTTGAACTCACTGACAACTGCTGTGACCACACTGGGCTGGTCATGGAAGGGGCCCTTCTTCACTGGAAATGTGCAAGAATCTAACAGGGATTGCCACTGTGGGAAAAAGATTTCTGTCATTGTCTTTCCCTGTTACTGAAAACTACTTGAATACAAGTACTATCTCCCACATTTTTCTGTCTCATCTACTATCTTCACAAAGAAGGGGCTGAATAAATGACTGCTGAACTGAAGGTGGGAAATACTAGCTTCCTGACACTACCTGTTGTCCAGGCCTCAGAAGAAATTTCCAGTCTATTTGGTGGCAGTGCTCACATTCACAAATATTTATTCGGTGACTCGAGAGGACCAGGCACTGTGGTAGGTGAGGGATACGGAAGAGAATTCAGTCATGGTACCTATCCTTAAGAGCTTACCGCCTAGCAGGGAAGTCGGACATTACCTAGTTTCATCACTCATTACTTCATACTATCATGTAAACTGCTTGCGAACACAGAATAGGGGGCCCTGACCTGTTGGGTTGGGGAGGCAGCCAGGACGGCTCCCGTGGGAAGTGATACATCAAGTAAGATTTGGACGAATAGGAATTGGCCAGATAAAAGAGTGAGGAGCCTTTGAAAAGGGTTAAAATACGTGTTTAAGGAAGAAAGAAGGCCAGTGTGTCTGAAGTGTGGTGAGCACGGGGGAGCAGAAAACCTTTAGCAGTTTCCCTTCAGAAAGTCCTCTTACTGTATTTTCATACGTTAGTCCCAAGAGATTCTACTCTGGCATCTCTTGGCCAGTGTATATACTGCAATTCCAGGAACAACCTTCAGTAACCTATTTTTCTGAAGGCTACGAGAATAAACTGGAAATAAAGCCCCAGGTCTTTTCCCTACTCTGTATTATGGGCCCCTCACAGGAGATGGTGACCAGTCATTACTTACATGCTCCTGGAGTACGCACTCAGTCTGACAGAGAGGTGTACGTGGTGCCATTTGCCTGCTTTTGTACAAGTTCACAAAAACTTACAGAAATCACTTATATTAAAGTTGAATAGACTTGCTACTGAGATGTAAAAACATTACAAAATCACTTATTCACTTTGTCTTTTAAACAACAATAGCCAATGAAATATTTTCAGAGTTAGGAAACATTCTTAAACTGTTTCCTTCATAAATAAAGCACAGCTGGCTTTAGTCCAATAAGCATTCTACCAAGGCGAAAGATCTGCTTTAAGCATGTCTGCTAATTTTCATCTTTTTCTCAAATTAGTAATACTATTTCATTTTCCGCTTATGTCTATAAAGGACAGAAATGCAAAAAAATTTTAATATTACATAAACAGCTGTACAGACGATACTGCATTTGAAACTGAATGTTCCACTGGCAGCTGCCTCACCGTGCAGTTGCTTGAAATATTAATCAGCCGACATTGAAAGTATAAATTCGGTGAACAAAGGATGATCTAGAGACATCAACATGTGTTGTAAAAAATGTGAGTTGGAGAGTAGAGGTCCATCTGTTAGGCAGAAGCACTAGAATTAGTAGTCCAAAGTTCTGGGTTACAGCTTCAGCTCTGCTATTGTGTGACTATATGAGTCATGTTTTACTTGCAAACACCAGAATCCAGTCTTGGTAGATTTAAGGAGAAAAGTGATTTATTTAGAGGATTATAGGTAGGTTAGCATCACCAGGAGGCTTGGAGAAATTGGGCTTGGAGACTAGGCAACTCGAATATCACCCTTTGTCGTCTAGTCACTCCACACAACCCAGTGCAGTGAGGACACCATCTCTCCTGAGGATTAGAGGCCACCACTTGGTTACCAAGGCCACAGGGGCAGAAGTTGACTATCATGGCAGCCAGGGTTACTCGAAGAACTTGCTGTGTTTGTCATGGTCACCAAAGAGAATAATTCCAGGACTCCACTTTGCCGTGTCTCTGGCTCCCAATTCAAAATCCAGAGACTACTTAATTTGTAGTGTCAGGGTCACATGGAGAAGCAGAGAAAATATCCGGATTTCAGCTTTTATAGTGAGAGGCAGGCTCTGATTACCAACAAGCTCATAAGATGAGGAATTCCCAAATGTAGGAAGGGAGTTCAGATCCCAGGCAGCCAAAAAGGATGACGGATGTCTATTATGTTGACCCTGGACAGACTGCTCAGAGCCTCACTTTTCTATAAAGCCAGGTAAGTAAAGTTGACATGGCTGAGGAGATTTTGTTTGTTTATTCATTTCACAGTAAATACCAGCTATGTGCCAGGATGCAAAGATGAGCAAGTCTGCTCTCCAATAGAGGAGAAGAATCAATCAACAACAGACAGCAAGTAGTAGGATAGAGGCATGCACAGGAGAGATGGGGGCGGGAAGAAGAGAGGGCTCAACTGTGCCTTACAAATGATGTTCTTATATTTAAGTACGTATATATAAAATCAAATTTTCATGCGCCACTAATGGGAAAGACAGCATGCCCTTGTAGAAAACTGTTGTGGCACTCCTTTGAAAGGCTTGGCTGTTTTAGAGAAACGCCAAAACAAACAATAATGTTGGCTGGCACAAATCCAGAAACTCGGCTTCTGATTGCTTATTGACAGACATGCCAGTTTCATACAATGGAACACTTTTCAAAGGATCAAACATGTCATAGTTTTGCCAGTCATTAATAATAAATCATTGAGTTCGTTATAGTGTGACACCCCCCCCTGCCCTGTTCTGATATGACCTGACCTAAGTCAGAGTGGTGTTTCTACTATGTCTGGCTACTGTGTACAGCTTTATACCTTTGCTTAAAATAAATTGTTGGTTTTAGCCTTTGGGGGATTTTTTTCCCATTTATAAAAGAGAGCAGCTGCATGGTAACTTGGGCCTCACCCAGAATCTAATAGTAAATTCATCATATGTTAACATGGAATCATTTTTATAGAATACATTCTGTAGAACCAGGGCCTGACAGAGGTCAGCTATTACAAACGTCAATCTGCTGCACTAATTTCTCTTTCACAGCATCCTCAAGTTAGATTTCTGTAGCTGACATTCTCTTCTAAAATCCACAGGTCTATATCCAACTGCCTTTTTGATCATTTGGATGACACAGGCCTCTTAAAGTCCAAAACTGAGTTCCTGATCTCCCCCCAACTCCAAATATGTTCCCCTTGCAAGAGTTACCATTTCAATAAAGAGCACCTCCTTAGGCCTACTCAGTAGGTTAAGCTAGAAGACTGGGAATCCCCCTAACTTCCCACATGAAGCCAAGTTTCTCTGCCTCAAAAGTGTATCTCAAATCCATCTCTCACCATCTTCATTACTGCAGTCCAAGTCTTAACCAATCTCCCTGCTTCCACCTCTTACTTTGGTCTACTCTGCACATAGTAGCTGGCATACTTTTTTTAAAAAAGATACCAAGTCTGGGGCTGGCCCCATGGCCGAGTGGTTAAGTTCTCGCGCTCCGCTGCAGGCGGCCCAGTGTTTCGTTGGTTCGAATCCTGGGCGCGGACATGGCACTGCTCGTCAGACCACACTGAGGCAGCGTCCCACATGCCACAACTAGAAGAACCCACAACGAAGAATACACAACTATGTACCGGGGGGCTTTGGGGAGAAAAAGGAAAAAATAAAATCTTTAAAAAAAAAAAAAAAAAAAAAAAAAAAAAAAGATACCAAGTCTGGGGCTGGCCCCGTGGCCGAGTGGTTAAGTTTGCGCGCTCCGCTGCAGGCGGCCCAGTGTTTCGTTAGTTCGAATCCTGGGCGCAGACATGGCACTGCTCATCAGACCACGCTGAGGCAGCGTCCCACATGCCACAACTAGAAGAACCCACAACGAAGAATACACAACTATGTACCGGGGGGCTTTGGGGAGAAAAAGGAAAAAATAAAATCTTTAAAAAAAAAAAAAAAAAAAACCAAGTCACCCACCTCCTCCACCCCTTCAATGGCGTCCTTTTACATGAAATTTGAAAACCCTTAAATTAAGGTTTTAAGGCCATTTAAAATGGCCTACTAAGTGTTGCATGGTCTGGCCCAACCTACCTCTCAAACTTCCATTACACTGTTCTCTCCTTAACATAAGAAGCTTCAGACAAGCTGGACGTCTTCCATTTACCCAAAGAGCAATCTCTGCCGGGCCCCACCCCACCCAAGGAGCTCACTCGGGCTTTCCCTGCCTTTTTTTCCATCTGGCTAACTCCTTACCTTCCTCTGAGAAGTTTTCCCTGACTACCCTCCCTTGCCCTCTACTTTTAAATCAGAGTTCCTTCAGTGCACTGGATATAATTTTAAGTAGATATTTATTTAAATAATATCTGACTAATGCGCACCTTCTCTACTCAAGAATTAACTTCAGGAGGACAGGAACCATTTCAGCTTTGTTGACTTCTGTGCCCCTAATAACAGCGACAGCAACAACCACAACTAACACATTTACTATGAGGCAGGCATTGTGCTAAACGCTATACATAGAATAATATGTACTCCCAGTATATTGTCTGGCCCATAGCCGGCGGTCAGTGTGTTGAATGAAGGAACGCAGCCCCGTATGTGCACATCTACAAGTTGCTCACCACCTCCTGGAACCGCGCGTTGCCCTGTTAACTGGTGATCGGAAGTCTTCATATGGACCCCAGCATGCCTGCCTGCAATGTCCGCCCACTGATTCGATTTCGGCGCTTCTGGGGCCACGCAGTACAAGGTCTCATCGTCCTTCCCCAAGCTCGACTTCACAACGTCGCCCTCCCAGCCCTCCCCGCGGACCCCCCGGCGCGCCCGTCCCACCCCGGGAGTCTGGGAGCCGGCTCGCCCCCTCGCCCTGCTCCCGGCATGCCCCGCCTCGCGCGTCACGTGCCGCCGCCCGCCCCGCCCCGCCTCGCGCGTCACGTGCCCCCGCCCCGCCGGCAGCCGGCAGCCGGCCGCCCCTGGCCGCGCGCCGCCTCCTCGCCGCTCCGCTGCGGCTCTGGTGCCTGCGGCCCCGGCTGCTGTGGGCGAGCGCCCGGCCAGGTAAGAGGCGGCCGGCGCGCGGCGGCCGCGGCCGCAGCTCCTCCGCCCGCGCCCCGGAGGCCCGGGGCCGGGAGCGGGGCGGCCGGGGAGGGGGCGCGGGCGCCTGCGGGCTGCTCCCGGGGGCCTGGGACGCCTCTCGAGGAGACCGGCCGCGGCGGCGCCCTCGGCCCTGGCGGCCCCGGGAGGCTCAGCCGCGCCGAGGAGAGCTGTGCCTTGCTTTCCCCTCCTGTCAAACGACCGGGCCGGGGAGGTGGATCTCCGCGCCTGTGAGGTTTTGCGAGTGTGTAAGTGAAGTCACAGAGGAGGAAGCGGACTCTCGGGATGGGGCGAGCCCTCACCTGGGAGCGCAGGAGCGAGCGTCTGGGCCGGACACCTATTAAGTGTCTTCTGTATTTTGTGCAAATCGTAAGCCTCTCGCAGACTCGGTTTCTCCATCTTGAAAGTCAAGGTGATAACTCCTGCCCTGCCTCCCTCATAGGACTGCAGCGAAGAGCCCACAGGAAAGCCAGGTGAAGAGCCAGAACGCTCGAGTCAGGCAGACCTGGGTTCAAGTCCTGGGTCTGCCGTTTACCGGCTGTGTGACCTTGAGCCAGATAGGACCCTCATCTGTTAAAGAAGATGATAGTACTTAGCTCGTGAGGTTGCTGTGAGGATTGAGTGTGAAAAGGCTTAGCACAGTGTCCAGCACAGAAATGCTCGATAGTGCTGTTAATATAATTATTAAATTAGTAAGCTAGAGAGTGCCTCACATGAGGGGTGTTGAGAATAATCACACTTCAATTTCTATATATTTAGTCCTAAAAAGAGTTCTGTTTGGTTTCCTAAGAAAGCGGCCAAGTGGGACCCTTTCTCCTTTTCTCTTCCTGGGCCCCCTTTGCCTTCTCATTTACAATTGGCATGTGAACCTGTTGTTCCTAGCAAATGAGTCAGGCAGGATGGGAACATCAATGTACTCGAGCAGATGGCTATCAGATTCCCTCTGAGGGGAAAGAAAAGTGCCAGGCATGTGCTGCCACCAAATAAAGCACAGTGCAGTGATGGACTGTCAGAGCTGGAAGATGCCTGGGAGAGCGTCTAATCCAGCTGTCTCCTTTTGCAAATGGAGACGGTGGACCCAGAATAAGGATGGGACTTTGATTTCCTCAGGACCCGACAGAATGCTGGCACTAGGTGGTGGAAAGAACACACACTGTTTACCAGACACTGTGCTTTCCCTGAGTTCTAACCTAATTCTTCATTTATTCAGCAAGTGTTTATGGAGTACCTACTCTGTGCTTGTACACCTACTAGGAGCTGGAGAAGAAATATATATATTTTGTGTGTGTGTGTGTGTGTGTGTGTGTATCCCTCTGCTGGTTCTCAGTACATTTTATAGTAACAGTATGTTCCAGCTCCCAGTGAGCTTGCCTCATAGCAGCTGGTCCCAAAGGACAGAAGCACCCAGAGAGGCCTGAATTGTTTCATGATCAGTCACAGCAGCCCCAGAGCTCTTGTTGAAGCCTGATGAGACTTTAGAAACTGGAGAAAATGCTGCTTTGTCAGGGCTCTTAGGAAAGGATTTCCTTCTGGTCTGGAGCTCTTGGATTTCTTCTCTTTCTGGTTTCAGGCTTCTTATTGTTTCTAGATTTCTGAAAAGAGCCACTGTCACCGTGCTTCCGTTGGTTTCCATGGTTATCAGATGACTTGTATTTTTATGGTAGCACAAGTAGCTGTTGAGGAATACATGGTCACTGTGGGTTTCTGTTTTCTGGTAGTGGTCCTCTTTTTTCAGTTGCCGTGCAGTCGTACTGTCCCTTCCTCCTCGCCTCCCTCCTGCCTGCCTTCTTTAGTTTAACAAACATGCATCCATGGGAGGGTCAAGAGGAGTGGGAATAAGTGGAAACAGATAAAAACATGTGTAGACTGTAGCTTAGGGACCTCTGAATCCTTGAGGGGATAATCCAAGGGCATTACACGTGCAAGGGACCCATCAGTGGTGCTCTGATGAAGGTGTAGATTGGGAGCCATTAAGAGGTCTCAAAAGTGGGAGAGGGTACCCTGGGCAACCAAGAAGACTTCACATACCAAGATGCTTTTCAAGGAAGGTGTGAAAGAAATTCCTTGTCCCGGTCTCAGTCACATGGTAATAATAGATGGTCCAGGAAGCATTGTGTTCTTTCAGTGTGCCTTAATGAGTGCACCTTCTCTGGAGTCATGGTCGTGGGCTTTGTGTGAAATGCCTAATTTCTCTCATTGACCCTCTTTCTGTGAGCTCAGTGACGTATTAGTTTCCTCTTCAAACACATGATATTGTGTACTAAAGGTGGATAAACAGAGACATTTGATTAAGAGTTTGTCTGTTTCACTTTAGGTGTTTAACTTGTGTGTCTCATTTCACCAGTTAGGTTCTAATGCAGTCATATTTCTTTATTTTTCCAAGTAATCTTCCAAGTCCTTTAATGTCCTTATTAGTAAGAATTCCGATGTCTCCCACTTCCAAGCCCCCTGTGGGATTAAACAATCCAAAGAGGTCACTTAGTCTTCCATTCTCCAGAGGAGACAGAGCTGCAGAGTCTGAGCAGTCCACCCTCATTGTTCTTTCTGACACAGCTATATGGTATCACTATTGAAGAGTTGTCCTGCACGGTCCAAGGATGTGTAGTCACTGCTGCTCAACACCCTCATTGGACCAGGTTCCTGCCAGCTTGATCCTATGCATGGATTCCAAGGTCAGAGCTCTTTTAGTTTATGCTCACATGCTTAGCTATTCTCCCCCAAGCACAGCCTCTGGGCCACGTGTTAAGCCTGTCACCAGGCTGGGTTTCCCCAGTCTCCTGGTGAGTTCTCTTCAGGGGCATATGGGGCCCTTTCCTGCTAGCAGCCTTGGGCAGGGTCACCCCAGACCATCCAAGAGACTTCCCCGTTTTCAAACCTTTCATCTGGATTTGGAGGCTCAATCCTTTCTCCGCTTCCTAACTCTGACCCACAGGTTTTTGGCAAATTGGTTCTACTTCCTGTCCAGGAGTCTGCCTACAGAGGATTCTCACAAATGACAACCTTCACCCAGATAGCTCCCCTAGGCCTTTGGGTGCCCACTCACCTTACTTTTCATATGTAGGAGGGGCCCTCTGGTGACTCTTGGTGAAGCATAGATCTGTTCCCAGGAAACAGTGTCTCTCCCTGTAGTCCTAAGAGAGTAGGCATTATTGAAATTTTCCTTGGCATGTTGTTAGGGATTTGGGGGGCAAGGTTTTAATTTAAAAATGAAGGATCTTCAGTTCTCTCAACTTTTCTAAGAATCAAACAATAATCACTATGTTTATTTCATTGTCTTTGTTTTAAACTTTTAAAAATATGATATATAACAAGAATGAATGCAGGAAAAAAACACAGATGTATCGTTAACAATTCCAAGGGAAATACACATGTACCTACGGCCTATGTCGAGAAATGGAACATTGCCAGTGCTCAGCAGCACCCGCCTCCAAATTAGAGCCTCCTCCCCAAAAGAAATCACTATCTGGACTTTCATGAGAATCATTTCTTTGCTTTCCTTTGTAGTTTTGTAACCTATATTTGCATCATTAAACAATATAGTTAACTTTTGCTAGTTTTTTAACTTTATACATAGAGAATCATACTGTGTGCATTTTGTTTCATTCTTTTGCCCAACTTGTTTGTGAGCTGCACGCATGTGATGAATGACCTTAGTTATTTTCATTGCTAAGTGTTTCATGATATGCGTATGCCACAGTATGTTTATTCAGCCTGTAGTTGACAGATGCTTGTGTTGCTTTAGTTTCTGAGTCGCAAGAACAGTTGCAGCCAAGAACATCCTTAGATGTTTTCTATTGTGTATGTGAACAAGTGTCTTTAGGTTATATATGTTGAAGTGGAATTGCTTTGCTAGAAAATGCCAAACTGTTTTCTAAGTGATGTACCAATTTACTTTCCTACCAGCAGTATATGAGAGTTCCGGTTGCTTCACAGCCTTGCAAATGCTTGATATTGTCAGTTTTCAATTTTTAAACTACTCTCATGGGTGTATAATGATAACTCTTGTGGTTTTCATTTTCTTTTCTTGGTTGCCACTGATGTTGAACACTTTTTTATTGGTTAATTGGGTGGCCTCTTTTGTAAACTGCCTATTAAAGTGTTTGCTTATTTTTCATTTTTCTTATTGATTTGTCAGAGTTCTTTATATATTTTGGTTAGTGGTCTCTTGTCAGTTATACGTTTTAAAAATATCTTCTCATACTCTGTGACTCTTTTTTCACCCTCTTAAATAGTGGTAACTTAGATCCTATTCTCTAGAAGCATGGCCTGAAATGGGGATTCTTGTTCAAGTAATATATGGGGATAGGTGCTCAGGAAAAGGAGAATGAAAGAAGCAGGATAGGGGGAGGAGGGCAAGAGAGGTATAACAGGTGAGGTAGCAGTTCTCTGGAGAAAGGGACATTGTGAGTTATCAGCTGACCTTCTATCTGGGGGAGGGGTGTGCTAACCAATAAAGAGGATCTGGGTGGGGCACCAATAGTATTCCCTGCCGTCCATTTGGATGCATTCCCTTATGTTAAGTTCAGTCTTTTAAGATGCGTCTTCTCCAGGATTCTGGGCGGTCACAATTTCTGGGAAAACTTACAAGAGGAAGATCAGTGGGGCTAACTACAGTCCCTGTTGCTCCAGTTAGTCCGGAGGTCTAACTGATACCCACCCTCCTCCTCCATCCTTCATTTTAACTCCCTCCTTTGTCCCTTGAGTGTGTGAGAACTCAGAGATGAAGCCGTCTGGGTCTGGAAGTTTGTTGTCTTTTGTTATGTTGGGATTTTTTTCAGATTTTTTTTTTTTCCTTTTTCTCCCAAAGCCCCCCGGAACATATTTGTGTATTTTTAGTTGTGGGTCCTTCTAGTTGTGGCATGTGGGACGCCGCCTCAGCATGGCCTGATGAGCAGTGCCATGTCCTCACCCAGGATCCAAACTGGCGAAACCCTGGGCCACCAAAGCAGAGAGCGTGAACTCAACCACTCGGCCACGGGGCCGGCCCCATGTTATGTTATTTTTGAACACAGCTTCAATGTTTTTAATGGTTCTAGGACAATTTTAAAAATTTCTTCTTAAGTTACTTTCAGTAAGTAATATTTTTCTAGAAATTTGTCCCTTTGAAGGTTTCAAATTTATTTATATAAAGTTTATAATATTTCCTTGTTCTTTTAATATCTGCAACATCTGTAGCGATATCCCCCTTTCCATTCTGATTTCGTTTTTATGCTTTCCCTTTTTTTCCTTCAGTTTCAGTAGAGGTTCTTTTCAAAGAACTGACTTCTGTCTTCATTGATGTTCTCCATAGTAAGTTTGTTTTCTATTTCATTAAGTTCTGCTCTTTTATTTTTTTCATTCTACTTTCCTTGGATATATTTTGGTTTTTTCCTCTAACTTCTTGAAATGGATGCTTGGTTCATTAATTTTTATCCTTTTAATTTGTATTCTTTCCATTTAAGGCTACACGTTTTCCTCCAATTATTGCTCAGCAGGAGCTCAGTTTGAGTATGTCGTGTTTCAGTCATCTGTTGCTAAATATTTTCTAATTTCCATTGTGATTTCCCCTTTGACTCATAGGTATCTTAGAAATGTGTTTCTTAATTTCCAAACATGAGTGTTTTCTAGTTATCTTTTATTAACTGATTGGTCAGTGAGCTTGTTCTGTATAATTTTAATCCTTTGAAATTTCTGTTAGGACTCTGTTTATGGTCAGTTTTTATAAATGTTACATGTATGCTTGAAAGTAATGTGTCTTCTATAGTTACTAGATTCAACGTTGTATGTAATGCCTTTAGATCAAGTTTATTAATTCAAATCTTCTTTATCCTCACTGATTTTTTTTTTGCCCATTCTACCTATTATAGAGAGAAATATGTTAAAATATCCGACTATATTTATGAATTTGTCTACTTCACCTTTTAATTTTTTACTTTATATTTTTGAACCCTATTACTAAGTGCATACAGATATAAAGTTGTTCTATCTTCCTGGCGAATTTACCTTTTAGCCTTATGAAGTTGCTCTTTTTATCTTTAGTAAAAGAATTTTTTTTGCCTTAACTCTATTTTATCTGATTTGAGTATAGCTACACCATCCTTTTTTGGTTAATCTATGCAGGGTGTATCTTTTCCCATCATTTTAGTTTCATCCTTTCTGTATCTATGTGTTTTAAATATGTCTCTTCTAGACAGCATATAATTGGGTTTTGTTTTTTGTAGGCTGTTTTTGTCTCTTAACTAGAACAGTTAGTCCATATTCGTTTAGTATAACCGCTGATGTATTTAGGTTTAAGTCTGCCTTCATATTTTATGCTTTCCATGTACTTGTCTTGCTCATACTCCATTTCATTTTAGCTCTTTCTTCCCTTCTTTGGGGTTATTTTTTTTCTTTTCTTTTCTCCTTTTTTTTTTTTTCTCCCCAAAGCCCCCCGATACATAGTTGTATATTCTTCGTTGTGGGTCCTTCTAGTTGTGGTATGTGGGATGCTGCCTCAGCGTGGTTTGATGAGCAGTGCCATGTCCGCACCCAGGATTCGAACCAACGAAACCCTGGGCCGCCTGCAGCGGAGCACGCGAACTTAACCACTCGGCCACGGGGCCAGCCCCTCTTTGGGGTTATTTTTAATCATTCGCTTTTTTTCCTTCTACTAGTTTGGACATTATGTAGTTGCTCTTATTTAATGGTTACCTTTGAAATTTTAATTTAACCAAAGTTGATAAATTATGGAGGTGATAAATATCCCCGCTTTTCTTTTGGTCAGGATGAGCACCTTAGACCACTTGAACTCTATCCCCTTCTGCTTAGTGGTAGACGAGTTCTAATACCTTGTGTCAGCTTTGATTAGAGTCATTTAAGGACCCACAGAGGGAAGAAATGTGATGAAGGAGGAACAAAATGAGAGAGCAAAGAATTTACTTGAGAAACTTTATATTTCTTGGGACTCTTTTGGTTGCAAGTGATCAGCTTAGACTGTCCTAACTTTAAAAAGAAAATCCGTTGGCTTACAAAACTGCAGAGCTGAATCCAAGGGCTCAAAAAATATTTTTCGGGCCCCCTCTCTCTCCATCTCTCAACCTTGCTTATCTTAATTTGGCTTCGTTCTTCAGATGATCTCTCCTGAGTTGTCGCCATCCCTGGCAAGGGGGATGGGATATTCTGATTGTCTACTTTGGGTCAAGTTTCCATCCTGTGTGGTGGAGGGCTGAGGCACTGGGAATGACGGACCACCAGGACTACATGGAATGGGAGTGGAATTCCTCTACGGAACCAAAAGAGGGAAGTTGTGCCGGGCAGACACAAGTTATTGCTACTGTGGTCCCCTACACTGAGTAATAGGTGGAAGAATGATGCAAAGAAAGAAGAGGGTTAGAGATGTTGTGTTTGGAATTAACTCACTTAGTCCGTAGAAGAAAAGAGGAGGAGGACGTCACCTGTTCAGGAGCCCACTAACAGAAAAGGAGGAGTCTGGTCAAACAGTTCCTTTGCCCACCAACCACTGGGCACTTCGGCATTGTTGGCTGAGGATGTCTTGGTGGGCCACAGCAGCAGAGGTGAGGGAGAGCTGGTGTGGGGCCCTCTCGTATGTGGAAATGTATTCAAAATGTTAGCTGTGGTGCTTGCTATTCTCACAGCTCTTTCTGAGAGAAACTTCTGCATCCACAACCCTTGTTCATGTAGAGGCAGCCCCGGC